TTTTATTTTATTTTATTTTATTTGTCTTAGCTGCTCTTTTTATTTTATTTTATTTTATTTGTCTGAGCTGCTCTATTCCATAACATGAAAATTAGAATGTGATTTTAAAATCTCTAAAAAGGACATCATTTAAAAAAAAAATTTTTTTTGTCTGAGCTGCTTTTTTAATTTTATTTATTTATTTTATTGTATTTTATTTTATTGTATTTTATTTTTATTTATTTTATTTTATTTACATTTTTTTAATTTAATTTAATTTTTTATTTTTTATTTTATTTGTCTGAGCTGCTCTATTTCATAACATGTGATTTAAAATCTCTAAAAAGGACAAAATCAGATTCATTTTATTATTTTATAGCTCTGATTCAAATCAGGACATGCAGTTATTCACAACCAAAATATAATTAGTCATTAAACAGTATTAATATTCATTAGTCCTCAACTCGAGATCGGGATCATGAGCCTTCAGATCACGATTCAGTTCAGACCGGTTTTGTGTGTTGAATAAATCCATGTAGCTGTTGAATGAGTGTTTGATGTAGTAACTCATCTCTTCTCTTTACTGGTGACTAGAAATATAAGCTTAGTGATTCATATGTCTGACTGATGGCGTGAAACCGCAGATCTCAGTCGCTCTGATCTTCTGAACGCTGCACATGATCGCGTCGCTCTGCTGATCTCTGACCCGCTTCATGAGTCCGTGCGTCTTCATTAAACGCTTCAATGTTCATATGGTTTTGAACACTTTTCACCTCATGTCAGACAGAAATTAGTGTGCACTTATTTTATGCAAGCGAAATGATTTTCTTTCCTCCTTGCTGTGTATTATGCATTAGACCCCAGTATTAACCCCAGTGTGCTGTTGTGCACGGCCTCATTTCTCGAAAGGCAACATTGCACATATACATGCTATTAGTCATTTCTTATTTTTGCGGAAACTGTTTTTTGGTTGTTTGTTTTATTTGCATTTAAATGAATGAATATATATATTTGCATTTACATTTATATGCATTTGAATATTTATTTATTTCTATCTGAATTTATTTAAACATTTTTTTTAATGCATTTACATTTATTTTTAAGTGCATTTTAAATATTTTTTTTTAAACGCATATGATTTATTTTCAAATGCATGCAATTTAATTCGTTTGCATTTAAAATGTTATTTATTTAAATGTATTTCTTTCTTTATTTTAATGCACTTATAATTAAGTAATTTTATAATAATTATAATTTAGTCATTACATTATCATTATATTTAAATAACAAAATATATATATAAATAGAATATTTTATCCCTTTGGGGGTGGGGATATTTTGAATGTTTTAAAATGCATTATCATATATTTAAAAAAATTTTTTTTAATGATTTATTTTGACTTTTCAATTCCCACCCAGTTTGAGAAACCCAGCTGTGGAGGAAGTTTTTTACGTTCTAGAAGTTAGAGTATTTTGCATAGTGCAATGCACTCTTCTATGGAAATTTTGATTTTTTTTGTTTCTGGAAAATTAATATGTCAAATACAAGTATGATTTGTTATAATGAACCGTTTATATTACGTCTTGTTTTTCTGGCGGTCCAGTTTACCTGTCAGGAGCGTTTGAACCATCTTCCCGATCACAGCTGAAAGACTGACAGCTCTATTTAGCTAAAGGCAAACTGAAGGAAATTTCCCATCATGCTCTGTGAACTTCATTATTATGCATGAGTTTGGCTTTGACAGCTCAACACGAAGCATTATGATCCGGTTGATCTGAATGTTGAAGATGTAGTTTGTATTAAAGGCTCCGAGGCTCAGATGATCTGGAGCTTGACATGTTTTCCACAGAAGAAAGAAAGTCATATGGAGTGAGTAAATGATGACAATATGATCATTTTTCGATATTGCATTAATGTGCCTCTATAAATTCCGTCCGTCCGTCCGTCTGTCTGTCTGTGGTTGATTTCATGTGGCTTTTTCCACAGCTGTGAATGACGAATTACTTCACTGGTTATTTACTGGTTATAAATATTTCTTACTGGCCCTAACATGTTTGTCGTTATTACATATTTTGTCTCTAAGCGTATATCAGTGTGAATCACAATGCATCCAGACACATTGTGAGTTTGTAAGTCCAACACTGGACGATACATCAGCATATGGTGGAAATAAATCCCAGATGACACGACACAAACCTAATACAGTACAAAACAGCAGTCTGACCCTTCACCTTTAGCCGTCGTGTAAATGAGCAGGTGAAGATGCAGATGCGTTGATCTTTTATTGTGTGATATTGAAAGAGCTGATGATAAAAGCAGTGTTCTGCAGGTGTTGAGAGCTTGTGTGTGTTTTGAGCTGCTCATTGGCGTGTTGTTGGTGTGGTTGCAGGTTTACACGCCGCTGATGCTCAGATACGCAGCGCTGGAGGATCAGCTTCTCAAAGATCATCAGAAATCACTGCATCTGCTGTGAGACCTCTTCATACGGCTGAATATAATACTCACGCATTATATTCATACAACACGTCTACATATCATTCCTTTGAATCGTCTTAAAGCTTTAAAAAGTCAGATTTTATAAATATCAAAATATTGTTTTACTAAAATGGTGTAGTTATGTAATAAGTGATGCTATTAACTATTAAAATAAATTGCAATGAATACATTTTTGTAGTAATGCATTAACATCTTAACTACAAGTTAAACATTCAACGTAGGACTAAAAAATCAATTTTTTTCCCCGGATTGATTTATGATGATTCATTTTGTTGAATCTAATGTCAACGACATTCGAAGTTTGAGACGATTCCTTTGAATCATTGTTAAATAGTATTTAAAAGTAACATTATTAAAATATTAACTAAAATCATAGTGATATACTGTAATAAATTACAGATGCCAGACTATTCAAATTCTAAATTCCAATGATTAATTTTTTTGTAATAATGTATTAAATAAAAAAATTATATTTAATTACATTTATGACTAAGAATAAAAACAAATATCTCTAAACATAAATAATAATTATTATTAATATTTATATATCATAAAGCTTATCATAAAGTGGTGCCAATTCATTTGATTGAATTTAATAACCGCAGCATTTGAGGTTTGAAATCTGCAGAAGTGATGTGAATGCATGAAGTTGATGTGGTTTTCATATGAATCCAGATGGTTTTAATGCATTGGTAAACATTCAGTCTGTCTAGATAAACATGTGAATCGTGATCAGATGCGCATATTCATGACCTGCTGTAAAGGGACTCGGTTTAATAATAAAGACCTGTTTACACGTGTGTTTGTGTGGATTTATCTGTGCACGCGTGTGAACCCACAGAAACACCGCAGATCAGCCCATCAGCCTCAGGTAAATGCCGTTTTCTTCAGGTTTTGCCATTGTTTTGTTTAGGAAAGGTTTATGGTTCAGTAGATCAGATATTGTAGCTGTGAGGGTTGTTTGATGAAAGCCGTGATGTTGATTCATGTTCCTCTGTGTGTCTGCAGCATCTCGAGTCTGAATGAGCTTCTGATGGTCTTCTGTGAATCCGGTGAGTTTCTCAGACTGAAAACACTGAAGCATCCTTCTGAGATCAGCTCTTTTGTTTTTTGGTTTTTTTTGTTAATAACTGTTTATTGCATTTTTCTGGGAATAGTAATATAAAACAAAAAGCAACTGTGCAAATTTAGAACCCATCCCAACCCTGGTAGACTTAAAAAAATATATATAATAATCATAAAAATATGTATATATTTTATACTTCTAAGATCAACTCTGATGTATTTCAGCTTTCCAGCTCACCTTTAGAGTATTTTATTCATTTTGTAAACGGCTGCGCTGCCGAATATTTTTGTGGAAATGCCAAACATTTTATTTTTTCAAGATTCACAGATGAATAGAAAGTTCAAGTTGAAATAGAAATCTTTTGTAACATTATAAAAGTCTTAACTGTCACTTTTGATCAATTTAATGCATCCTTGATTAATAAAAGTATTGATTTCTTTAAAACAGTGACCACAACTTTTTAACCATAGTGTATGTTAACAATAACTAAAACTAAAACCATGAAAAAAGAAAATTGTTACTTTAATTAAAATGTCAGCTAAATTGTAATTTAAGTTAAATGTTTTCAAAAACATTTCTCATTTTCATTTTATTTAACTTGATGTAATACAAGTATGCAATCTAAAAATGGAAATAGCATTTAATACAAAAGTTTATTTTATTCTTATTTAAGTTTATTTATAAAAAAAAAAAAAAAAAAAAAACCAAAACTAAAAAAGATACTTATGGAAGCCAATTTCTGCCATGAGATAAAAAAATAAAAAATAAAATAAAAAGATAAATTGCGACTTTATCTCACACTTAGGACTTTTTCCTCTGTATTTTTACATCTTAACTACAAATTAAACATTCAATGTTGGACTAAAAATTAAATGTTTTCCCCAGATGAATTTATTATGATTCATTTAGTTGAATCTCATGACAACGACATTCGAAGTTTGAGTTGATTCCTTTGAATCATTGTTAAATAGTATTTAAAAGTAACATTTTAGGATTATTAAAATATTATGAACTAAAATCATAGTGATATACTGTAATAAATTACAGATGCCAGACTATTCAAATAATAAATTCCAAGTGTGTGTTTTAAAGGAGGAATGAATGTGTGGCAGCAGGGTCTCATCAGTGTAGATTGAGATTGGACTGATTTTAATTTGTTAAATCCACAGAAAGTTCAAGTACATCACATGACCTTTACTTGATGACGTAATGTAAGTTTCTCCTCTGAAGTAAAGCTGATTGATCACGGCTATATTTGGGATCTTTGTTGCCATGGATACTGATTATTAATAGCACAGTGATCACATTTATCACAAACGACTGTCTAATGTGTCAAAGCAGTCGATCAGAGCCCATAAGCCTTCAGGCGGAGATGTTTTTAGCTCTTTTACCTGCCAGAAACATGAATTACTGCATTACTAAACCTAACCAAACTCAATCTAAATTGCATGTGATTTTTGTTCATTGCAAACCTGATTTCATTGGTCAGCTCAGCCACACAGTCACCTGTCCGGGAAAGCTTTGTGCTTAACTGGTTTGGGGGAAAAAATGCATTGAAAGTATTTAAAGAACAACATTTCAGTAGAGTCTAAAAGTGTTTATGTTTGACCTATTGATACTTTTGAAACCATGTGTACACTGTAAAAAAAAATCTGTGAAAATTACGGTAAAATACCGGCAGCTGTGGTTGCCAGAACTTCACCGTAAAAAATATGGTCGCAACATTTTAGGTTTTACAGACTTAACTTAAATTCACAGTAAAATACCGTATTTCATTAACTGATGTAATGTTAATAAACCAACATATTGAAGTGTTAATATCCATTTTGAACCATTGTAATGCACTGATAACCACCAGAAACTGCTGGTGATGAGAAAGTCACACGATGAACCAAAGCTCATCACAAACAGCTTTTCTACGAGCTGAGGAGGGCAATACTGTAAAAAATGGCCGTGAATTTAACGGTAAAAGACTGTAAAAATGCTACAGTAAAATCCTGTTAAATGGTTAACGGTAAATTCCCTGCTATACACGGTGAAAAACTGTATTGGACATTAATTTTATGGTAGTATACCGTTTTTGGAAGTGAAAAAGACCGTATAATTTACAGTGAATAACCGTAAATT